CATACATATATATAAATATATGCATACATACACACTTATATTTGCCTGTGCCCATATGTATAAATACGCATGTTAATATGTATTTGCATATATTACACTGAAATCATTGTTAGATTTTATCAGTTTGTCAATTTCTTGATTTTTTCATCCTTAAGTAGATAATCTATTATACCACGAATAGTTTTTATCTATTGGCTTTAGATTATATGTATACACTATTTGTGGAAATGTTTGATTGAAAAGGAAAATGCTGTACGAGATCATCCATGTAGCCGTTATTTGTTTTGAAAGCTGAAATACTGCTTCTGTAATTCATAAATGTTATAATAAAAGTTTTTCAGCAAAAGGGGCAGAGGATAAAGAATTCAATAACAGCAATTCGACATATAAGTTCGTTTAACAAATTGAGAAATATGCTAGAACATTCGTATTAAAAAGAGACACACAGAAAGATCAAAGATCTCAGAATCATGTTTGCATATTACTTTTTTCCAGATTAATCTTGGAATTGGCACACTACAAGACAATAGAAAAGTTACAGCAAAAATGAAATTAAGAATTCTGCGGTTTAATGCCATTACTCATCCATTGCTGCTTTAACTTGATTTTTTTTTTTCTTCTTTTTCTAGTCAATATCAATTAGAATAACAAGGAAAGGGTGTTTATAGGAGGATTAAACTTCATGATCAGTATTGAAAGTAATTTTATTCTCAGAAAATTCTACGTTTCTTTACATTTCTGCCTGTTTTATAAAGTTATAGCTTCTTTGCTTTTTGCTTGTTTGTATTCCTTGAAGACTTGTTGGCTGAACCATGAGCCCTTAAAGCAGCATTTGGAGTATTTCGTCCAAGACCTGCGTGGAATCCAGCTGAAGCAGCAAGGGGAGCGTGAGGTCCTCCTGCATAAGGGAATCCAGTTAAATATTCAATGGGACTGTGAGTCTGAAGACCATAAAGGAATAGGCCTGCAGGTTCATCATTAGGGAGGATTCCACTAAAGGTAGAAAGAGAGGTGTGATGTCCAGCAGCATAAGGGAATCCTCCCAAACCAGCAATGAAAGTGTGAGGTCCAAGAACATAAGGGTGTGTTCCTAAAGCAACACTGGAAGCGTGAGGAAGAAGAGCGGAATGGAAGCCACCCAATCCAGCAATGGGACTGGAATGTAAACCCCGTTTTGATTGTTGGAAACGAAATCTGCGCCGCTTGTAGCACCTGATCCAGAGGTAGACGATGTTTCATCCTCAGCCTCGTTCACTCCACCGACTCCAACGTTTCGTAGAGCGCCGTATGGGTTGGCATGGCCTAGGGGGTTTCCGTATAAATATTTGAGAAGCTTTGATTTTCCATATGGATTTCCAAAATACGCACCAGTTCCGTATGTATAGTCCAAGTAGCCTCCACTCCCATATATCGGTCCTGGCAAATGTCCCAGTGGAAGTCCGTGGTTGACAAGGGACGCACCGTTGTCATAAAGACCACCGGGATCAAGCCACCGTGAAGAGTGCCATGTTGCGAAAATCCTCCGAGTGGCGTTCCCTGGGCAAGTCCCAAGTAGCTACTAGCAGCGAAGGCGTGTGAACACAAGAGGGCGGCGCTCACGATGACCAGGAATAGTTTCTGAAAGGTTCGGCAGAGTTTCAAAGCTTATTAGAGAAGTGCGTTGGCCGTTTTCACATTGTCAATGGTAACCTAGTCTTAGTCTGAATAGTATGACTCCGGTACCTCTTTTTGTTTTTGGAGGAAGGGCCAGTGGCTCATAGCCTGAAGCACCTGAGTACCACTTGGCAGCGAGCGATTTTGTGATGTTTTCTCTATGTGCTCCTCGGAGGACCGCACACGCTGCAGCTTTGGTACCTTGGCTCAGTCCCCTTCGGCTGGGTTTAACGATCATGGAGGATGGGGGCATACCCCTGCCCTTTGCGGCTAGTTTACCAGCAAGCTCGTTCCCTTGTATGCCTATGTGGCTTGGGACCCGAGAACGGCGGATGCTTTATATACTGGTCTGCGATCTGAATGCTCAGCACTAAAAGGTCACAGCGAACAGGTGCAATTGTTTCTGTCCGAACAATGAACTTATGGAGGAGTTTATTCATTTTAAAATAGGCTACTTCGGTTTTCTGCCAAATGTTCACTTGTATGCGCACAAACACATACACATAATTTTAGTTACACAAAAATACGTAGATACATACATATACACATACACATGGAAGCGTACACACACACATATACATAAACAACTATACATAAATATATTTACATATACATAAACACACACACATATATATGAGTGTGTGTATTTATATATGTGTGCGTGTGTGCGAGTGCTATGAATACTGATGCACACGCACACATATACATACACAGATACATATACACACGTGTATATATGTATATTCATATTTCCCTCTATATGTATGTGTGGAAATATGTATATATGCATACATACATGGCTGTATGTGTATTTATATATATGTATATATATGTGCGCTGACATTTA